TATATGTCATCCCATTGCCTTCTTGCCTGCATGGTTTCTGCCGAATAATCCGAGCTTAGTCTTATTGTTTCTCCTCTGTATGTGACTTTTTGTTTTTCACAAGCTGCTCTCAGGATTCTCTGTCTTTGGTTTTAGCGAGTGTGATTACGATATGCCTTGGTGATTTTCCCCTGGGGTCCATCCTATTTGGGGTTTGTTGAGCCTTTTGGATGGTCAACTCCTCATCTTTCATGATATTGGGGAAGTTTTCCATCAGTAATTCGTCAATGATCCTCCCTGTGTTTTCTGTCCTCTCCCCCTGCTCTGGAACTCCAATCATTTGCAGATTTTTGCTTTTGATTGTATCCCACATAATTCTCAGAGTCTCTTCATTTTTCCTAGTTCTTTTTTCTGATTTTTCCTCAAACAGAGTTGTATCCAAGTGTTTGTCTTCAATTTTACTGATCCTATCTTCCATCGTTTCAAACCTGCTCCTCAGCCCTTCCATGACACTGTCCATTTCTGAAATCTTGTTGTTTATCTTTTGGATTTCTAATTGTTGTTTTTGTATGATTTCTAGTTGTGAATTTATTTTAGCATTTTTTTCCTGCATTATTTTCCTGAATTCTTCCATATTTTTGTCTGTATTTTCCATGAATTTGTCTGTCTTTTCCATGAATTTGTCTATTCTTTCCTCATTTTTGTCTGTTTTTTGCTTCAACTCCTGGATAATTCTGAATCTTAGAGATTTGAATTCCCTATCAGTTAGGTCTAGTGCCTTTTCTTCTACTGGAAGGTCATCTGGTGTTTTATTTTGGATGCCTACTGGAACCATCCTGTCCATTCTTGTAAATGTTTTGATATTGTCTGCTGCGTTCAGTGGTTATCTTCCTCGTTTATTGACTGTAGATCTGTTTGTTTCATCCTGCTTTTTTGTTTCACTTGGTTATGTCTGAGCAGGCAGGCTGTGCTTTCTCCATTGTTTGTTCGTCCATGGGCATGATACTTTTCACCTCCTTCTCCAATGGGCAAGGTCAGTCACTCAGGTATGGTACAGCAGGGCAGGTCTAACTCCTGTTTGCTGATCTCTGGTAGGAGTCCAAGATGGCGGATCCGTGCTTCGGTAGCTGATAGGGGACCTCTGCGTGTATCTCTCCTCGTGCTCTGTTCTCAGTCAGTTTCTTATTCCATTCGGTGCTTGGCTGGGTTCTTTATCTCTTCATTTGATGCTTAGGGTTTCAGGATTGACGTGGGACTCTGTTTGACTTAGTTTTTCTGATCTTTGCTGTGGAGGGATGGCGTGGTGATTCTGACTATAGGGCCATGTTGCCTGGAAGTCCAGCAATATGCTTTTAATGTTCCTTCATGCCATTTCATGACTTGATCTTTTTTTTTTTTAATCACTGAATAATATTCCATTGTATAGATGTACTACAGTTTGTTTATCTGTTCATATATTGAAAGACATCTTGGTTGCTTTCAGTTTTTGGAAATTATGTTTAAAGCTGCTATAAGCATTCATGTGCAGGTTTTTGTATGGACATACATTTTCATCTTATTTGTGTAAATATTTAAGAGTGTAATTTCTGGACCATGTGATAAAATTATGTTTAGCTTTGTAAGAAACTGCCCAATTGTTTTTCCTAAGTGGTTGTACCATTTTGCATTCTTACCAGCAATGAATGAGAGTTCCTGTCCCTTCACATCCTTACCAGTGTTTGGTATTGTCAGTTTTTTTGGATTTTAGCCATTCTAGTAGATGTTGAATGGTGTGGCATTGTTGCTTTAATATACAATTCCCTAATGACATGACATTGAGCACCCTTTCATATGCTTATTTGACATCTGTATATTCTTTTTCTTGAGACATCTGTTTAGATCTTTTGCTCATCTGGTTGTTTTCCTTATTATTGCATTTGAAGAGTTCTTTGTATATTTTAGATATAAGTCCTTTATCAGATATGTCTTTTGCAAATATTTCCTTCCAGCATGTGACTTGTCTTTTCATTCTTTAACAACATCTTTCTCAGAG